GTCTAAACGCCAAAAGGTGGATTTTGCTAAAATACATGTATACAAATGTTGAAAGTTGTGTTTTATTTAATGGATTAAAGTCCTCCATGCTCAAAATGGAACGTGGAATATTACAAGGAGGGGCGTTGTCTGCCAAAATGTATCTAGCATTTATTAACGATTTATTAAATGAAATAGAGAATTCTGGTTTAGGTGCAGTAATTGTTGATTTAAATGTTAATGTTCCTACACAGGCAGATGACATTTGTCTGGCGAGTACGAGTCTTAAAAGTCTTCAGAAAATGATATCAATATGTGAGAATTATAGTAAAAAATGGCGTTTTTCATTATCTGCTGTAAAAAGCAAAATTGTAACTTTCACAAACCCAAGTAGTGGAACTTGTACTATGTATAAATATCTTTATCTCTACAATTGTATTATGCCACAGACTGACGGCATTACACATGTTGGTATTTTATTAAACTCTTAACAGAACTCTTTTGAGAGAACAACACTTGCATGTAATAAGTTAAGATCGGGTACGATGTCCCTTGTTCGTTCCGGTGCACATCCTTGTGCTCTTAACCCTTTAACAGTAGCGAAGCTGATCAAAATTAAAATTTATCCATCCGCCTTATACGGGTGCGAGCTTTGTCAATTGACAAAAACCGAAATAATAATGTTATAAAGAGCACAACACTTTATTGTTAAATCTATTCAAGGGTTTGAAAAAAGAACCAGAACAGACATGTGTACATCCTTACTTGGTTGGACCTACGTATGAAAGTTGATAATGATTTTACAACGTTTCGAGAAATACATAACCACCTCAAACCTAATACTTTATGGAAGCTAGCGCTACGATTTCCTCAATACAGAGAATATATACAATTTATAATGACAATAGTTGTAACCATCCGTAGCTTGACTACCATGGAATTATGTCATACATGAGGGTTTTTATATCAAGACCTAATGACACATCTAGTGCTACAGTGTACTTAGACTTCCGAGTTGAGGGACCAACTATGGTGCTGTATAATTAATATCAAGGATATACTGTTTAGTGTCTATTTACACTCTCTCCCAGATCTTGAGATATAACACATAATGATTGGAGGAAATGTGGGCCCGTAACACCTCGCAGGTAGGGATATCCCCCACCCTTATGTGATCCAGACCCACAAATGTATCCTCCACGTTTATAGTTTGTATGTTACGATAAATGTCTTTATTGCATGTATTTACAAATACAACGATACGTTGATGTCTATACATAGTCATGTATCAGTATTACGTACCACTTATCAATACAATTTATTATAATTTAGTTGGCTTGTTGAAACTTTTTAGGTTTACTCTAAAATGTTTTATTATTTCACCTTATATACACATCCCTATATATAAAGTGTATATTTATGTAATGTTTATTATGTATTCGTGTATATATGTTCCACATTACTTTGTAATTTTCATCTTTGGAGGCAATACAGAGAAACATAATATGTCAGCTAATTACTAATTAAAGCGTGGTAGCAAGCGTTAATCCATGGAACAATAGCACTAAATGCGACAGTATTAGAATACCAAGCACTAATCCACGGTACAATATGGTATTACAAGGCAGCTTATAATTATTACCAATAAATAATCGACAGTTTGATGATAAATACAATCGTGGCACTGACATTTTCAAATAGCTGCTAAACATCGGAATCGAAGCAGTCTAGACACTCACAGAAGTAAAGTGATCGAATGACATTTTCTTGTTATGCGGGGAACGGATGGAAGCAGGCCCCTGGGGGTAGGAGCAGGGGGTTAGGGATGGTGTTGAAGAAGTGGGCAGATCAGAAGAGGGTGTGAGGGCCGGATTAAAGGGTGTAGGGGTGAGGGTAAAATACAGATTCCTACCTCTTTCCGGATTTTATGTTCGTTGGTTATGCCTCAGAAATATAAGGGGTACAAGAGTGTATGTGAAGGGGCACACGAGTCACTGTACATTAAGGGGGTACACGAGTGTATGTGAAGGGGCACACAAGTCACTGTACATTAAGGGGGTACACGAGTGTACGTGAAGGGGTACACGAGTCACGGTACATTAAGGGGGTACACGAGTCACGGTACATTAAGGGGGTACACAAGTGTACGTGAAGGGGCACACGAGTCACTGTACATTAAGGGGGTACACGAGTGTATGTGAAGGGGCACACGAGTCATTGTACATTAAGGGGGTACACGAGTGTACGTGAAGGGGTACACGAGTCACGGTACATTAAGGGGGTACACAAGTGTACGTGAAGGGGCACACGAGTCACGGTACATTAAGGGGGTACACGAGTGTACAAGAAGGGGCACGAGATTTACGGTACATTAAGGGGGTACACGAGTGTACGTGAAGGGGCACACGAGTCACAGTACTTTAAGGGGGTACACGAGTCACAGTACATTAAGGGGGCACACGAGTGTACGTGAAGGGACACAAGAGTCACAGTTCATTAAGGGGGTACACGAGTCAAGGTACATTCAGGAGGAACACGAGGGTACGCGAAGGGGCACACGAGTCACGGCACAATTGGGGGTACACGAGTATACGTGAAGGGGCACCTGAGTCACGGTACATTAAGGGGGTACACAAGTGTAGGTGAAGGGGCACACGAGTCACAGTCCATTAAGGGGGTACACGAGTCACGGTACATTCAGGAGGTACACGAGTGTACGCGAAGGGGCACACGAGTCACGGCACATTTGGGGGTACACGAGTATACGTGAAGGGGCACACGAGTCACGGCACATTAAGGGACACACGAGTCACGGTACATTAAGGGGGTACACGAGTATACGTGAAGGGGCACACGAGTCACGGTATATTAAGGTGTACACGGGTGTTCGTGAAAGGGCACAAGAGACATGGTAAATTAAGGGGTAGACGAGTGTACGTGAAGGTGCACACGAGTCATGGTACATTAAGGGGGCACACGAGTCACGGTACATTAAAGGGTACACGAGTGTTCGTGAAGGGGCACACGAGTCACGGTATATTAAGGGGTACACGGGTGTTCGTGAAAGGGCACAAGAGTCATGGTAAATTAAGGGGTAGACGAGTGTACGTGAAGGGGCACACGAGTCATGGTACATTAAGGGGTACACGAGTCACGGTATATTAAGGGGTACAAGGGTGTTCGTGAAAGGGCACAAGAGTCATGGGAAATTAAGGGGTAGACGAGTGTACGTGAAGGGGCACACGAGTCACGGGACATTAAGGGGGTACACGAGTGTACATGAAGGGGCACACGACTCACGGTACATTAAGGGGGTACATGAGTGTACATGAAGGGGCACACGAGTCATGGTACATTAAGGGGAACACGAGTGTACGTGAAGGGGCACACGAGTTACGGTACATTAAGGGGTACACGAGTGTACATAAAGGGGCACAAGAGTCACGGTACATTAAGGGCCACACGAGTCACGGTACATTAAGGGGGTACACGAGTATACGTGAAGGGGCACACGAGTCACGGTATATTAAGGGGTGCACGGGTGTTCGTGAAAGGGCACAAGAGTCATGGGAAATTAAGGGGTAGACGAGTGTACGTGAAGGTGCACACGAGTCATGGTACATTAAGGGGGCACACGAGTCACGGTACATTGAGGGGTACACGTGTGTACATGAAGGGGCACCTGAGTCCCGGTACATTAAGGGGGCACAGGAGTGTTCGTGAAGGGGCACACGAGTCACGGAATATTAAGGGGTACACGGGTGTTCGTGAAGGGGCACACGAGTCATGGTACATTAAGGGATACACGAGTGTACATGAAGGGGCACACGACTCACGGTACATTAAGGGGGTACATGAGTGTACATGAAGGGGCACACGAGTCATGGTACATTAAGGGATACACGAGTGTACATGAAGGGGCACACGAATCATGGTACATTAAGGGGTACACGAGTGTACATAAAGGGGCACACGAGTCACGGTACATTAAGGGGGACACGAGTGTACGTGAAGGGGCACACGAGTTACGGTACATTAAGGGGTACACGAGTGTACATGCAGGGGCACACGAGTGTACATGAAGGGGCACACGAGTGTACATGAAGGGGCACACGAGTCACGGTACATTGAGGGGTACACGTGTGTACATGAAGGGGCACCTGAGTCCCGGTACATTAAGGGGGCACAGGAGTGTTCGTGAAGGGGCACACGAGTCACGGTATATTAAGGGTTACACGGGTGTTCGTGAAAGGGCACAAGAGACATGGTAAATTAAGGGGTAGACGAGTGTACGTGAAGGTGCACACGAGTCACGGTACATTAAGGGGGCTCACGAGTCACGGTACATTAAGGGGTACACGTGTGTACATGAAGGGGCACCCGAGTCACGGTACATTAAGGGGGCACACGAGTCACGGTACATTAAAGGGTACACGAGTGTTCGTGAAGGGGCACACGAGTCGCGGTATATTAAGGGGTACACGGGTGTTCGTGAGAGGGCACAAGAGTCATGGTAAATTAAGGGGTACACGAGTGTACGTGAAGGGGCACACGAGTCAGTGTACATTGAGGGGGTACACGAGTTTACACTAAGGGTGTTTAGGTGTTAAGGTCATTATCGAGTAGTTAAAAGAGGTTACATTAATGTAATTAAGGTGATTATACATAAAATAATTCTGACGCCAGAACACGGCCAGTTAGGTAGAGGTAGAGAACCTATAGAACAGTACCGCACACCCCAACGTCTGTGTTCTCAATGTACTACCCGTCAGGAAAACACTTCATTAGGACAGCTTCATGCAGGGGTGAAGTTATGTAGTTGACAAGTACAGTGACGTCATTGGGGTAGATTTTTCAGTGTGGCTTGGTACTTAGTATAAAGTTAAATTGTTCGTGTGGAGTTGATATTTTTACGTCATTTTTGCTCTTCTGGATGTAAACATGGAGGAGAATATACGATAACCTGACAGTGATCGTGGCGTTATAACGCCGTACAGCTAACACGTGGTCAAAGAAAATATCTACCAGAATCATGGCTGAAAACGACAGGTCAAAGAGCATCGCCCTGAAATATTCCGTGACGTACTTCATATAAGTATTAGATTGTAAAATTAGTTTTACAACTGTGAGGTTCAAGTTTCACTAACGGCATGTCATAAAACAACACAGCCAGACCACGAGTCGACCGACAATGATTTCGTTCCGCTAGGATAGTAAAATCTCATTGTAATTCGGTTTACTGCATTGTCATAACGATATGATAGTCCCCGCTATACACAGCGTCTCTTCTCTACCAGGCCGCTCACTGTTCCCTGTTACATCCTCTAGGGGTGTCAGAACTACAGCGGGACACAGAACTACAGCTGGGCAATAGAACTACAGCGGGACACAGAACTACAGCTGGGCAATAGAACTACAGCCGGACACTAGAACTACAGCCGGACACAGAACTACAGCTGGGCAATAGAACTACAGCGGGACACAGAACTACAGCTGGGCAATAGAACTACAGCGGGACACAGAACTACAGCTGGGCAATAGAACTACAGCTGCTGGACACTAGAACTACAGCTGCTGGACACTAGAAATACAGCGGGACACTAGAACTACAGCTACTGGACACTAGAACTACAGCTGCTGGACACTAGAACTAGGACACAGGGAAAGCAGCCAAATACTTTGGCTACAGCCGGACAGTAGAACTACCGCAGTACTCTAAGTCAGTGTCGTGTTTTTGGACAGTTTGACTTTCAAATTACTGTTGGACTCCAATGTATTCCGGAATTCCGTACCTCCAGTCTGTATAGCGTATATATGTGTACGACCCACTGTAGACCATTTGTGACTGTGCTAGCGTATACTGTGTTATTGCGTTGTGCTATATAATAGTGGAACAGATGTAAAGGTCCAGGACGTTGGACAGACCGGGTCATCAGGGAGGAAGACTGTCGACAGAAAATGTAACGACCGAGGGAAATGCTGTTATCGTCGGCATCAGAACATAGGTTGATTTTGTGTCGAGGAGTGATCGTAGAGTTGACAGATATTAACGCTATATATATACGTACAACAAGTGTCCAGCCACGGAAATACACAAATATCTGAACAAACGGGAATACATGTGTTGTGAGTACTGACGACACATTCCGGGACCTGTTAGACTAACAGCCACTGTCACAACCTGAAATGTCTCTGTTACACTATCTCGACTGGATCTCTGTGCTGTATTTATCATTCCAATAACACTGGTTTCTCCTCGGGTGATTGCACACTAGGTAATGTGTAAGGATTTACGGCCGATTGATTCTCCCATAAATATTTAAATAGAGCATTCAGTGTCATCCGCTCAGTTATCTTGAATCGTGCACCTTTCCGCGTCATTGCTTTCAATTATATGAAGATTGTGTTTTTTTGGGTAAGTTGTCGAGTCTGTTGGATCACGTGACTGTCACAATGTTACACACGAGAACCAATGCCTCAACTGACAAGCCTGATAATTTTGCCATGCCAGTCAAGGGAAGAGACGACGGGAAAAACCGGGGCATATTGGCCGCACTATTACCGGGAGCAAAAATACAGTCAGATGGAAAAGTGGTGGTGAGTGTGGGGACCACGCGCGAGACTGTCATCTTCAATGTGGGCGGCACGCGGTTTGAAACTTACAAATCCACGCTCAAAAGGCAACCCGATTTCGCTTTGGCGGATGAAAACTTTCTGCGGAAGCACTTCCGGAAAGATGTCGGGGATTACTTTTTCGACCGTGATCCTGATATGTTCAAAGTGAGTTGTCAATCGTAACAATTTGTTACTAACATTTACATCCGGGAATTCGTAGCTTACTATGAGCACTTAAGGTATGCTCTGCACTAACAACTTGAACTAACAGTATAAGTTACATCCGGGAACTAACAGTTGTATGCCTAACATCCGGGAAGTAACGGTATACTTTACATCCGGGAACTAAAACTATACCTTACACCCGGGAACTAGCTTTGCATCCGGGAACTAACAACTTGTTGCTATTAGTTCTAGCTGTTTAATAACATACATAAGCTGAGGTTGACGACTTGACAATATAGCAGTGCTCGTGTATACTTCTTGATTTATTGAAGCACAGCGTAGTAATTGTGACAGGACAAATAAACGACCAGGAGCTAAAAACTTGTTGACGCTGACAGTAAAATCCGGGCATTTATAACGGCAAAACACAGACCACGTGTTATAAAATGGTGTTTATTGTTTATGATCTGTATGTGTACGTTAATGTACAAGTATGTGTACGTTATATGTATGCATCAGCTGAATGTACACTCTGTGTGTCCCGATGTTGTATTACGACTTTGAAATAACCAAGCTACTACACACGTCTGCCAAGCTGTCGTGTCATGATACATAAGTAGTCTCAGAGTGTCAACCAACTCGGGTAATTCGTTAGATTTGAGGGGGTGTTCTCAGGTCCCCCACTTTTTAGAGAACAAAGAAAAGTGTTGATATAGGAAAACAATGGCAAACCAATTATTGTCTGTTTCATACTTACTCCCAAGGTAACTCACCCGTGTGAAAGTTACCTGTCTGACTAACACATGTTTTACAAAGCCAACCGTGTGTCACAAACGTCAAATCTAAAACGAAATGACGTCAGAAGTATGTTACAGTATTGTACGTCAACATCTGACGTTACGTCATTACTTTTTTAATAATATGTTTAAAGTACAAAATTATTACAAAATAAAATAACATCATCAGCACAAGGACTACAGAATGGATATATTAAGTAAATCTATTTTTATATATTTATAATTAATATTTAAATATTATAAATTTTAACATTTGTTATCAAAAAATCTGAAATCTTATATGATGTTTTATTAATTAAATATGATCAGCTTCCAGCTTAGATAGAACACTACCTTAGATAGAAGGGTTAACAAGCCATGTGAAGATATAAGCTCGTCTTGACCCGATTTCTATCTGTCAATTGGTGGTATTTGTACGATGGCCGAGAGCAGCCGGACACTTTTCATTCCTTTTATGTTCAAAAGTGTAACATGGTACACTTGTGCATGGTACACTTTTTAATCACTTTTATAAACAAAGGTGTACCATGGTACACTTTTGTGTGGTACACATTTAAGTGTGTATTTGTCCTTCATTTTCAGCCGAAAGCGGCCACTGGTTACACATTTAATAACAAAAAATCTACAAAAGGTTTTCATTGGAGCCGTTGTTAATTAATTACTCCTGACTTGTCGAATGACGGCGGGGAAACAGGTCTGTTTTTTATCAACATAGCCGCGGATTTACCACCAAGTACTTAATAGGTTATACTTACATTATTGTACAGTATACTCAAGCCATTATCGTTGTTCCCCGGCCAAAAGCACGGAATTTAGAAACACAATGTTAAGATGATTAAACAGGAAAGGGGTACCGTACAACCACCAGTCGTATGCATATGTGATGTACTATATATTTATATCAAATAACAATGATTACAATACTGGGGAAATTATCCCACTGGAAACATTGTTTCTTTTATAATATAGAGCTGACAAAAATAATGTTGATCACGTTACAAACTGTAGATTACAATGATGTTTTATATAAATTGATTCTGTTTACCCTATGGGAACCCACGTTCAACGATTAAAAAGGCCATCTGTTTTCTAACATTCTTCTACACAAAATGTCATTTATCAACCGTTGGCCGCTTTTAGTCATCTTAAAGTGTACCATGGTACACATTTGACTGTAAAACTGAATAAAAGTGTACCACACAAAGTGTACCCTATGGTACACTTTTGTACATAAAAGTAATTAAAAGTGTCCGGCAGCTATCGGTCGCTAGTGCTAAAAAGGTACATATTTGATCACTTTTATATTCAAAAGTGTACCTCACAAAAGTGTACACTTTTGAACATAAAAGTAATGAGAAGTGTCCGGCCGCTCTCGGCCATCGTAGAGCGGCCATCGTATATTTGTGTGGAATACAGGACACATTATCTTTGGGGGAAAATAGACTTATCGTCGTTACGGCTTAGTGTGAAGGTATACTTGCTAGTGAGCTTTATTAGCGGTAATACCACGGACTTAGATAGCATAATCTAATTCCGTGGTAATACCCCCAATACCCCACACTGTCATACAGTATCAACGTACTCCATAATATAAAAAAAAAATCAAAAATTCAAAATTTTATTTGCACATTATGGTAACTACAAATTAGTTTGAAGACAAAACAGTGAAATACATACAAATAGACGACATGTAGAAAAGTCGCAAGGTGGTAGCTTATATTTCTAATATACATTCACATGAACAAAATATACATAGCTTCAAAAAGAAAATACCATTTAAACATTGTTAGCTGCAAAGTCCATACCCTATACTGTCAGCAAGGCCACTCTCCTCTGTTCTAGAGATTGTTTGATTGGTATCTAAGGTAACATCCTTGTGATTAGGAATGCATTTTTGGAAATATTCTTTTCTGGCAGATTCATTAAGGGAGCAGTGAAAAAGGAAGTGTAGTTCATTTTTAACACACCGCATTTTTTTACAGAGTCTCTGGTCTCTTCGTATACTTTTGAGACGCCCCATGGCTAGCTCCAGTTTGTGTTCACATAATATACTGCATCGGGTGTGAAACAAACACCGGGTAACGATGTCACTGGACGCATGTACAACGAGCGGCATTTCCCTGGAAACACACTCCGTCTAACGGCTGCTACACCAATCCTAATCTGATTTAGAGTTTAATGTCGTAGAGTGAAATACCGGGTAGCAAACGTTTGTCGCTACTAATTACGGAAGTGTTTTTTTTACCGTATTTTACCTTATAGTTCGCGTATTTCTTAAATCTGTCTGCAAAGCGTGAAACGAAAACCCAAGTAAAATACCCCCTAGTCACGGTGTATTACTCAATTAGCTGTTCGTGAGTTGATGTAGAAATCTGAGACATTATTTCGACAGATACGTTATGTTTGAAGGGCGTGTTACATTTCTTATGTACACAATAAAAAACTGACTGAGGTACGGACGCGACACAATCTAAAACATCCATCTCAGACGATTGACAAAGGAGGTTACGCGGTGGTGTGTACGATCGCTGGTCTCAAATAACGTGTTTCTGTTTCTTTTTCAGTCCCCTGTAAGTAAATAGAATCCCTCCTATAATGGGATAGGGGTACAACGTAAACAATAGGTACACTTACATCGCACTAGACATATAACGTGTAGAACCTCGGAACGTGCTTGAAAGTATAAATGTTTAAAATATTTCTATACTGAATAACAATTTAAAAGTGTCGTTCTTAGTTGGCTCACTGGCATGACAGCATCTACAGATACCTGTTTTAATAGTGCATGCCATCGACCCCCAGCAGGTTCGGGAATAGACCTGTCGACCCCCAGCAGGTTCGGGAATAGACCTGTCGACCCCCAGCAGGTTCGGGAATAGACCTGTCGACCCCCAGCAGGTTCGGGAATAGACCTGTCGACCCCCAGCAGGTTCGGGAATAGACCTGTCGACCCCCAGCAGGTTCGGGAATAGACCTGTCGACCCCCAGCAGGTTCGGGAATAGACCTGTCGACCCCCAGCAGGTTCGGGAATAGACCTGTCGTACTCTACTGCATGTTATTGTAATAGGCGACTAGTGTGGACCCCTTTTCACTTTTTCACTTTTCCCCCCGGCAGGTGTATCCCTGTTATCACGTGACCTTAAATATTGCGAGGACTTTAAACCCCTACCTTACATAGTCACACGTATGTGAGATCTTCTATTTTGTTGATCACATGAACCAAAAAATGTGCAAGGCATATAGATTAAACACAAACGGCATTCGTGCCATCGTTAAGTTTCCTTACGTCATGTCAAATACATCACTATAGCCCCTTTCACATCAGTATAGCCCATTTGACGTCACGATATCCCATTTGACGTCACTATAGCCCCTTTGACGTCACGATAGCCCATTTGACGTCACTATAGCCCATTTGACGTCACTTTAGTCCCTTTGACGTCACGGTAGCCCATTTGACGTTACTATAGCCCATTTGACGTCACTATAGCCCCTTTGACGTCACTATAGTCCCTTTGACGTCACTATAGCCCCTTTGACGTCACTATAGTCCTTTCACGTCACTGTAGCCCCTTTCACTGTCTATTATCGCAATAAACCAGCCGATTCTGAGATGTCATATAAACACGTATGATAGTTTTTACTAAACGTTACACATACGTACTCCGCTCTGTTCAATTTTTATTCCGAAACTTGAACCGAACAACTATTGCGGACATATGACGTCGAGGATGAAATAACGGCACTAAAATGTTCGGAACCAAATCTAGTTTTAGTTCGTCAATTTGATCGGTGGATAACAGTCAAAAGGAGTTAATATACAATACAACCCTGTGTTTTCTTCTGCTCTTTCAAAATATGGCCTTTTTATTTACAACCTCTAGAAGTGTTGTATTAGCATTGTCTGTGTCGTGATTACCGAAGAGTCAGTTATTATGTGGGTACGTACACATTGGAGACACTACCCTCGGGTACAGACCTTGGTGTCAGACCCACGTATACAGACTTTGGTGTCAGACCCTCGGGTACAGACTTTGGTGTCAGACCCTAGGCAAACCCTTATTTGAAGACTGAACATCTACAGTGGCTTCTTACGACGGGGCCAAGCACTTTGTTTAAACATCAAACAAACGACCTTATGTAATAAAAACTAGCAATAAATAAGTCACCGATTGATATTGGCTGAGTGTATATTCTAAATG